TCTCCCACGCTGCAGAGGACCACAGCTCCAGGACAGGGCACAGGGCAGCACCTCCTGCCCCCTTTTCCCTGCTCAGCCCCTCTCTATCAGCCTGTCCCGGATGGACACCCTGTCCTACTGGCTTTGCACACAAGGACACAGAGCTGCAGCCCTTGAGTTGCCGGTTCCCCACTCCCCGGGAAGGGACCATGGGCACATCCATCCATCCATCCATCCATCCATCCATCCATCCATCCATCCATCCATCCATCAATCCATCTCCCCTGCCAGCCGGCACCAGCCCTTGGTCCTGCAGTGGGGAAGAGTCTGAGCCTCCCCTGTCCTTTCGGTGGCACCACCACGTCTCCCGGGATTCGCAGGGGACGGGGACGTGGCTCTGGTGCCAGACCTGCCACCWGCACCGTTGCCTCCTGAGGGGGCAAAGCCACCAGCTCATCCCAGCCGCAGCCCAGGGCTCTCGGAGCGCCGACATGGATGAGAACAGGGCCAGAGCGGGAATATGCCCCACGGGGAATGCAGCCCCACAGCAGCTGCACGTGGAGCTGAGAGCCGAGTCCCCTGCCCGGCCGCACGTGCCCAGCCCGGTGCCAGGCTCGCCGTGTCCCCAGCGGGGCAGCAGGCACRGATGGCACCCCGGCTCCCTCCGCACGCAGACGCCAGCGCTGYCGCGATGCCAGTTCCCTGAGCACCACGGAGCGCTGCTCAGCTGGGCGCCAGAGCCACCTCAATGCCATGGGCACGGGGCTGCCGACCCGCATCCGCACTGGGATGAGCAGCAGGGCGCACAGGAGAGGTGCAATAGGGTGCAACGGGCACAAGCTCACACACACTTGCAGTGCTGCTGCCCCCTGGTCCCTGTGTGCCCAGGTGAGAAAAGAAACCTTTGGGGAGACCAAAGCCCAGAGGTGCCGTCCCCTCAGCCCCACTGCCCACAGCAGCGTCCTGCCCCCGTCCCYCCCGCGCCGGCTCCATCTCCAAACAAGCTAATTACTTACACGGCTCCCTGGGGGAACGCACCAACCYGCTTTAATTTGAAGCAAAAGGCAAATTTACTTAAAAGCCAGAATCAAACAGAGTCACGAAGCCCAGAGGCCTTGAGCATCCTCCTATGAAACTCCTGCAGCTCTGCAGGGCAGGGCTGCTCCAGGGGCAGGGTCACCCGTCCCGTGCGCTGCCCCTCTCCCCCAGATGATGTCCACGAGGATCACGGGTCAAACAGGACCCGCGGTCCCACTGCCACCTCCCTCTGCTCCCTGGGAGCTGCTTCGTGGCCCCTTGACCACTCAATAAGCCCTGTGGGTCTCATRGAGGCCTCAGACCCCCCCGCCACGAGCCAGAGCCCCTCACCACGGCGTCAGGGCGGCCGCCGGCCGGGCTCAGCCCACCCCRCGCTCGGGCCCATCAGAGAGATTCATTTCACCGAAGGCTCATTCATCTGCAGCACAGCTAAAGCCCAGGGCCAGGATCCACGCCGGCGGCGGGAGAGCGATTTGCCAGCAGATGGATTTATCATCTCCCAAGCACAGCAATTTGGCTTAAACGACACCGAACCACTTCTCCTAATGAAARCACGGCTAATGAGCGGAGCCAGCGCGCGCAGGGGGAGCAGCTCCGCTCGAGGGTCCCTGCCCTCCTTGGCAGCGTGGTGCACGGCCCCGGCGCGAGGCTCCGCTCGGGCCAGTGCGGCCGGAGTGCAGCAGAGCCCGCGTGGGGCTGCCATGGGGCATGGAGAGCACGTTTCGGCATCGCCGGCACAGCGGGAAGCAACCCGTGCTCAGCTCTAAGGCGCCTCTGTGCTGGGACGGGGGGCACGGGGGGCTGAGAGGCCCCGCGAGGCRGGCAGGGGGCTGCAGACAAGCCAGGACAGCAAAGGGGCCGGGGCAGCGGCGGGCACAGACGCGGGCGGGCGGCAGACACACGAGGCAGAGGCAGGCAGCGCTCCCGGGCGCCGGGAAGGGGCAGCGCCCATCGGGGCACGCGGCCCCGAGCGCCGAGGGGAGCGCGCGGGGGCGGCAGCAGCGCGGCCGGGCAGCGGGACACGGGCTGGGAGCGGCTCCCACGGGCACCACGGGCAGCAGGAGCGGGCTGGGATCTGCAGCAGCCTTGAGCTGGGCCTGTGAAAGCCCTCTGGGCGCATCAGCCCTCCCGGGGGCTCCTCCTAAGGGGCAGCCCTGCCAGGCCCCGTGCGCACACCGGAGCGGGGCAGAGCGGGTGCCAGCCGTACCCCGGGCATCCTCGTGCGCAGGGGAAGGGAAAGGCGGCTCTGTGGGCACTGGCTATGGGCGCTGCTGTGGTCTCCGACACACYGCCTGTCCTGAGCCGCCCAGTGCACCCGCACGCATGACAGCACGCACGCATCCGCACGCTCCCGCACGCATCCRTATCCATCCACACGCATCCACACACCGGCCTCGTGCCCTCCTCACACCCAACCCTCTCCATCCTGCTGCTCCAGCCCCCCACGCACCTGCACCATCACCCACCACCGTCCCCACAGAAATGCTGCACCCCARCAAGTCCTCTGAGGGGACCCCCCGGCTGCCGCGGCCAGGGCCCCTCCGGGCCATGGTACCTCCGTCCCTCCGGTCCTCGGCCATCGCCCCTGTGCCGCGGGCCGTGGTCAGAGCGCTCCTGAGGCGCTGGCCCGGGCTCTGCTCCTGCTGTAATCACTTGTGGCATTAGAGGGCTGGGGGAATAATGTAATTTATGGGTGGCTTTTATTTCTCGCCAGCGTCATCTAAATATCCCGGGAATGGACCGGTTTAATTCCTGGYGGTGCAGCCTGCGCACTTCCCTCCCCAGCGCGATGCCCGGGGTGGGCAGCGGGGCCCTCGCACCCGGCTGGTCCCGCAGGGCCCCGCGCGGCCCCGGCGCCCTCCCCGCGGCGCCGCTTTCATTCACTCGCTCRCAGGGCTCACACACACACCCACGTGCAGCGCTCACCGCCCCGGCTGCTCCCGCCCGGCACCGGGGAGCCCGAGCRGTGCCCGGGGAGGGAGCGCTGCCCCGTGCTGCCATTCCCACCTGCTCTTTCCTTTGTTTTTGTTTGCACRAATCAGTGGCACGTCGGGGAAGGTGCTCTGCGTTCCCACTCTGCGCCTGGCTGGAGCCCTTCCTGCTCTTCGCCCCTCTGCGTTTGCTGGGGGTATTTTCAGCCCTACTCCCTGTGTGCTCTGAGGRGGCCTCATCTCCCCACTGCTGTCTCTGGGGGAGCACCCGCTGCTGCCCCGATCCATCACTGGAGCCGCTGCGGGGCCGTCCCACCTCCCCACCCCAAGCACTGTCTCGCTGAGCCCCCCTTGCCTTGCAGATGTCCCCAAGGAGCAGGGCACTGAGGAGCCCCAAAGCACCCGGAAAACCCCAACCCACCCGTGCTCATCCCCAGGCTGGGCTGAGCTGCAAAGCCACGGGGATGCAGGGAGCTCCCACCTCCACTGCTTGCTCAGGACTTTGCTACAATCCCTCAGGTCCTCTCCACATCCCAGGGGGACCCGAGGAGCCCAGGCTGGTTACTAGACGTGGCCTGGAGCCATTGCAGCCTTCCCTGGGGTCAGRCTGCACCCCCTCTCCTCCCATCCCCATCACTTCCATGCTTTTCCTGGCAGAAAAGCCACTTTTCCTCACYGAGGTGCATGTGGAAGCAGGGACACCTTTGCCGTACGCAGCCGGCACCAGAAAGCCAATGCAGGTGGAAACTGCGGGAACGCAGTGGGACCAGCTCCCACCCCAGGAACCTGGCTCTGTCCTGGCAGCTGGAAAACGAGCCCCTGCCTGTCCCGTGCCTCAGTGTCCCATCCTGGGAGCCTCAGTGTCCCACCCTGGCCTGCTCCCCTCTGCCCAGGGTTCCGCTGCTCGTCTGCAAGCCCAGGCATGAAAGGTCTCAGCCTTGGAGAGACTCGAGTTTATTTTTAACCTCSGTTTGATTTAAACCCATATGGGCATTTTAAAGTTACCAGAGAAACCAAAAGTTGTGTGTGGGTTTTGAGTTCCTACACAGCTCAAAAATATCTTTGCTGCAGCGCGGCCGCACAGGCAGCCGAGCAGCATCCCCCTGCGCGGAGCTGCTCCGGAGCGGCGGCTCCTGCCGCGCCGCATCCTGGTGGGACCAGCGTCCCACCCGTGAACCGGCCCCGGTGCCTCAGGTGCCAGGCACCCACCCAGCACGGGCACATCGGCTCTGGCACAGACTCCAGGAGGCAAGGGGGAACCGCCGCTCCGGATGGGAACTGCCGCCCTGTTTGGAAGGGAGWGAGATTTGACCTGATCTAGGGGAACTCATGAGGGGGCCAGGGTGTCCCCAGCTCCAGTGCAACCGCTTTGCCAGGGGACGGGGTGAGAAGGATGGACACTGGTGGTGTGACTTGGGAAGCCAGGTGCCTCCCTGCTAGGGAYGCAATGGGGTCACGTCTGCTCTCCTTGTCCCAAAAGCAGCCACCTCACAGACACCCTACGCCAGCCCTGAGGCAAAGCATCCCTGCCCTCGTCCCTGGGTGGGGGGGACACAGCAGGGGACACCTCGTGCCAGGGGGCTGCAGAGTGGCCAGAGCCACCCTGGGGGACCTCACTGCACCCTGGCATGTGGCAGGGCACTGAGGCCTGGGGCAGGCGCCCGTCACAAAACACCCCTGTCCAGTTGGGCTCAGGAGAGGGGGTGAGGGAGGGCAGGCTGGGGGGCTGCAAGGGATCCCTGTGCCATGCTGCCCTGGGGGTAGCAGGGAGCGGGGAGGGAACAAGGCGGCCTTTTGCAAAGGGCTTTGGCAGACCTGCCTGGAGGCGACTTCCCCAAGCCGCGGCGGGACCCCCCTCCGCCCCGGGACCGGCCCCGTCGCCCTGCTGCAGCCCCGGGGTGGCGCCCCCGCCGCGGGCGGGCCGTGCGGGGAAGCGGGGCGGGCGGGCGGCTCGGCAAGCGGCTCTGCAAGCGGGTCGGGTCGGGCCGGGCCGGGCGCCCCGCGTCGCGGTCCCGAGCGGCTGCTGCACCGTCCCCGGCGGGCGCCACTCACCCGTGAGCTGGTCGTAGGAGCCGTCCAGGTCCCGGGAGTCGGACAGACTCTCCTTCCTGCCCTTGCTCCGCATCTTCCCGCGGCGGGGAGCGGCGGCCGGGAGGGGGAACC